CGATAACCTTCAGGCAGAAGTGCTGAGTGGATGATCCATCTCTGCCTACTCCAGTGGTCACCACCATCATGGATACCAGTCTTCAGCCAATTCATTTCACTCCCCCACGATATCACGAAATAGTCCGAGGCAGTGGACATGGTGAGGACTATGCACCCTGACAACAGTCCAGCCATAGATTTGAAGGCTCGTGCTCCAGAGCTTGCCACATGCCTTAGCCGAAATGTGCCTATACAGACATAACACAAGGTCTATCCTACAATGCACAAAATTGCCCAGGTGTCCCTTGTACTCAAAAGGCAGGATGAATCAAACCCAACCAAATACCAGCCCATCAGTTTATTCTCAAATAATCAGGAAAGTGATGGATGGTGTCAGTGATATCAAGCAGCATTGCTTAATTGATTTTTGGTTTGGGTGCTGCCAGGCCACTCAGCTCCTGACCTCATTTTCACTTTAGTTCAAATTTGGACACAAGAGCTGAAATCCAGCGATTAGGTGAGACTGACTGCCTTGACACCAAGGCCGCATTCGACCTAGTGTGGCATCATTATGGAAGCACGAGCAAATAAGAATCGGGGGAAAAAAACTTTCCTCTGGTTGGAGCCATACCTAGGTCATAGGAAAATAATTGTGATTTTGTCATCTGAGTTCCAGGATATCTCAGCAGGTGTTCCCCATGGTACATCTTCTGTTGCTTCACAAATGACCTTCCATCCATCATAAGGTAACATATGGGGATGTTCGCTGTTGAATGTGCAATGTTCAGCAGCATTCGTGACTCCTTAGAAGCAGTCCATGTTCAAATGCCACAGGACCTGGACAATATTTAGGTTTGAACCAACACATTTGCACCACAAAAATGTCAGGCAATGACCGTCACCAATGAGACAGGCAATCTAACCACCACCCCTTGATATTCAAATGGTGTTACTATCACTGAATCCCCCACAATCAATATCGCGAGGGGTATCATTGACTAGAAAATTAATTGGACTCACCATACAAATACAATGCCTACAACGGACAGCATGGTGGCTCAGTGTTAGTGCTGATGTCTCACAGCACCAGGGACCCAGGTTCAATCTATGTATGGCATTTGCACATTCTCCCCTCGAGATGCCCTAGAACTCAGGTGCTGTGGTTTCCTCCCACAATCCAAAGATGTGCAGGTTAGGTGGATTGCCCATGCTAAATTACCCCATAGTGTCCAGAGATGTGCAGGCTCGATGGATTAGCCATGGGAAATGCCAGGTTAGAAGGACAGGATAGGGGCGTGGGTCTGGGAGGGATGCTGTTTGGAGGGTCAGTGTAGGCTCGATGGGCCAAATGACCTGCTTCCACGCTGTAGGGATTCTATGAAGTGCAGGCCACAGGTAATGAATCTTGCAGCAAATAACTCCACTTGTCTTCCCAAAGCCTATCGACCTTCAAAAAGGCACATGTCAGGAATGTGATGAACACTGCCCACTTGCCAGGATGAGTGCAGCTCCAACAATACTCAGGAGGCTTGACATCATTCCAAGAAAAAGCTGCCCACAACAAGTTGCACTGCATAAATTCATTAAGGGTCCTTCAAAAGTACTTTCCACATCACATCCATCATCATCTAGAAGGACAAAGGCTGCAGATACATAGGAACACCAGCATCTGCAAGTTCCTCTCCAAGTTGCACACCATCCATCTCGAAAACGTACTGCCATTCCTTCAGTGTCACCGAGTTAAAATTTTGGAACTCGCTCCCGTACACATGGCCTACCTACAGGACGTGGTCTGGAGTGGTTCAAAACATCGTACAACCAGCTTCTCAACTAGGAATGAACAATAAATACTGGCTGCCAGCAACACCCACGTCCCATGAATAAATTCTTAAAAGAGCCAGTCGAGAAAGATCATTACTGGCTTGTAATAAACCAATGGTTACTTTAGTTAGTGGAAACCAATGGGGGATGAATTATTAGGATTACATGAAGCATATTGTAGAATATTAAGAATTTTAGATGAAGTGGAATTTTTTGACCGTTGCAACCAAAACTGTAAAACATCCTGTGACAGCACAAACTGTTAAATATACAAAGGCCACAACAGCATACTGGAGAGAGATAGTAGGAACTGCAGATGCTGGAGAATTTGAGATAACAAGGTGTAGAGCTGGATGAACACAGCAGGCCAAGCAGCATCATAGGAGCAGGAAGGCCGACGTTTCGGGCCTAGACCCTTC